GCCTGGGAACTTTACCAACAGCGTACTTCCGAGCGAAAGGGTCCTAAACTATGGAGAGAGTTGGATTGCACGATAATATTTATCTTTCATATTAGCGTATGCAATTATCGAAGTGTTCATTAAGCCCACGGGCTTTCGAGACCGTGAATCACCCGCTCATGTTGAAAGCTGGTTAGAAAATGTGATTCCCTAACGTATTCAAGCCCCGCATTAAGTGTTAGACATGCCAATTAGGTAGAGCTGTTGAACACACACGAAGAAGATGCAAGTCGAGACGATTGACACAAAGCACATAAAAACACCTGCTGAATCCATTACTGACGACATTCTCCAGCTGAGGGACATTTTGCAACCCTACTAAGCTCAGAACATTGGTTTATAGGAATCAGCCTAGGCGTGCATTTATGGCCTCTGTTGATGACGGGCATTCTAATTTGCTTTCCAGCACGACCTAAAAAGTTATAATTCAAGTCCGCTATGTGCTTTTTCTAAAGGTTTTAGTTAACTATTTCAGAAGCTGCGATTGCTTACTCGAATAACCGTACCAAATCCTAGGCGGCTTGCATTGAGTACACGCTAGAGTATACGGATTTCCGATGTTATTATTGGTGAAAAAGCATGTCTGGAATGGTTTTTAGTAGTATTTCGGATAGCACCTTTCATTCGGATGATCTACAAGGTCGTATAATATGCAGATTGCCCCCACAACGATCAGATCTGTATATGCACTGGACCAAAACGGAGGCCAGATTGGTCCTCGGCGCGCATTAATCAGACAGCGCAGTCTGCAATAAATCCCTATCTACTGCCGCTTACGGGGGTGACTTTGCTCCACGCCAGCCACTTGGGCCTAATCTCAGAAACAGATGGCTGACAGCCTAGGCCAGTCGATTTATGCATGTGGAAGGAAAGGGGGTGTAAAATAGACTGCGAAACCCATCCCCACGACGCATCAGTGCATTCCCTGCTAATAATAAACCTGATGCGCTTGTGTCTATTACGACGTGCTAAAGGTCATCGTTTGGAAGGTTGCCAGTTGACCGTGTAACTCAGCCCTCTTAGTACGAAGATCTAGGCTCAAATGCTCTACCTGCTTGTCGTCTCTGTGGCAGTCCCACTTAGGTGAGATCGGAGCTGCCTCCTTTTTGAGAAAACCTGGTATTGGCCTGCGGGAAAGGTATCCTGCGTCGCATACGTAAACGGGCTGTTTAATTACCTCATCAACTGGTCCCGAACCCACCCGCCGGCCGCCCTGGCACCGATTTGTCAGCGGACCCAAGCGGATGGGGGGGGGGATGTCGTGGATATCGTCGTACGCGACGGCCGAACGGTCATCATATAACGCAGGACAGGTACATCACAGTGGAGTAATTCAATCTGCTCTAAGCAGTAATGCAATCAGTACAGGTCAGGTAGTGAGCGCCGTGCCACATTGAAATGTGCGTTAAAAATGAGAATTCGACTTCGGTTTGACAAATTAGCAAGTAAAATCAAAAAAATAAAATTGACCTTAGATTACGCATTTCAAGAAGATGCTGGTGAGTGCAGAGTTACTCTTCGGTTGCTCAGCAGTGTCTAAGCCCTCCTACTGGGTGCTAAGGGCAAGTTGTCGGTAGTTTTCTGGTAGAAGACGACGATCCATCCGAGGAAGTGCCTTTGGGGAAGCCACTTTCAAAAGGGACCTACGCTAATGCGACTTTCCCGTCAAAATAAGTTGTCCTCCACGGACAAAACGGCCCAGCCAATAGTGTAGGTGACTCCGAAAGCCAATGTTATACAACTTTGACGAAGCCTCTCGCTTGTGAAGCAGGGAAGCGTCTTGATTAAATCAAAATGGTCAACTTCCACTGGGTAAACAGCGCTCAAGAAGCTCGTCCCCGTTTCACTTGCGATGAGAGGATTTGTGGAATAGGACCATATTTGACAAAGGCATGGATACTCGTTAGTGGCATAATGGACTCGTCCAACACAAAGTCGGTTCGCTCTTAGAGTTCTTTTCGTCGCTTCACGGCGGATGCACGTAAAAATGCGTGGTTGGTGGTAGGCAGCTTATAGAAGTTTGGTAATTTCCGAATTTGAAAAACTGTAGCATCGAAAAAGGAAAACTCTCTTGCACAAGCCCTGAAGTCATCACGTTGAAATATCGTCAGCTCGTAACGGTACATCCGGATTTGCATTCAAAAATTTGCCTTTCAGCTTGAACCGTATAGACACCAATTGACTTGTGAAGGAAATGCAACCGCTCAAAAAGGTCAATTTATCGTTAGATGTAATTAAGTATCCGTGAAAGGCTGAGGCAATTGTAACATTTGTTTTTGGAATCTATTCACTCGGAAAATCAGCGTGAAAATTGCGTTCTGGAGTCCTTCACGCCTCTAGCAATAACGTCCTAAACAAGTTTACTTCTCCTCAGGATTCGAGGAACCTCCCCTCATAGTTGGCTTTTAGATGCATCTTCCGCATTTTTTGTCTCTCTGTTCTCCTTTTGACCTCATAACCACCCAGTTCGACTTTCACTCTAGGCTTGTGTTTTCTAGGCAGTATCCATTCGTAATGTATTTAAACCTGTGTGTGAAGATATCCGGCAAAACGGCAATGTCCTCTCTCATCAACTTCACCAACATCGCACAGTTGACTGTCGATCAAATCTGTTCAAAATCACGCTTCTAGTAAGATTGCTAATTTTTTATTCCATCCAACACTGATAAAAGTCAAGGTTTTATATAATAAAAGCAGTAGTACTTTTATTAAACAGTCCTGAACATATTGCTGATGCAAAAAATAATGTACGTCCTTTTCGCGCGGGTAAGTACAGCTTATAATAATGTTTGGTTTCACTGAAAGCCCGGTTACAGACTTCTTGAGGATAGGAAGTAATAAGTTGGGTTTAGACATGTAGAACAGTAAAACTTCCTAATTACTGGCTACCGTTGACCATGCCACCATGTGTGTGTGCTCTACACGCTCAGCTCCACGAAAAAGCGGTAATATTCATTTTCGTCCCACAGACAGGATAAATCGGTGGCAGCCATTTGCATGTGACTA